ATACTAAGATATTATATGACTAGGTGATATATATATATATATATATATATATATATATATATATATATATATATATATATATATATATATATATATATATATATATTAAATGAGTTTATTTAAAAAAATTAAATATTAAATTTTAAAAGTTTAAAAATTTTGAATTTATAAGAAAAACAAGAAAATTTTTGAGTTATTAGAATTAATAAGACTTTATAATATTAAATACATTATATGTATAAACCATTTCTAATAAATATCTTACATATTAAATGTCAGATTTTAATTTAATAAAATAAATACTACACTAAAATGAAAAGTGGAAAATAGAAATTTCAAAAATTATAGAAAATATCATGTTTACAATTGAAGGAGAAATGTTAATGCGACAAAAAATTCATTATTTATTAGAGATTATTTACCATATTATTCAAGGGATATCCGGTTTCAGCAATAAGAGAGAATTTTTAGAATTTTAAAAATAAAAATTAGGTTATCTTTCTTCTAAATCTTTAAATACATTGGTTAATAAGCCACAAAATCGCAGGCCATTGAACGGAATCACAGATGAAGTTATGTTATCTACAATTTCGTTGTCTATTTTAGTTCGTTTTTAATTTGTGACAATATATATTCTTATTAAACGAATAAATATTGTATTTGCCCAACCTAAACTTGAAATATCATATTTACCATTAATAATGTTTTAAATATCAAATTTATCACAATTTATTTTTAATTTTTTTATTATTTAATAATCATTTTTTTATAATTTTAAATCATTAAAACTAAAAAGACAACTAAATAGATAATACCCTTCCTTTATAATTAAAAGGAATCATTCACATGAGGTTTATTTGATATCTAAAGTGTTTTTTATGCAAATTTATCAATTCTGTATTCCAAATCATTTCCTTTAACTGTGCATTTTGACTATTTATTTTAGACACTTGAGGCTATGCATTTTGAAAGCCCTCATAAATACAAATGGCCCCGTCTTAATGAGCTTGTCAAATATGGGGTACTCTTTTCATGTTCCATTCACGAAGCAAAGTAATCACAACTTTGAAGGGGTGTGTTTTTTTTTTTTTTTTTTTTATTTTTTTTTTTATTTTAAATAATAATTGAGCTCTCGCTTTCCCGCGAGTTTTTACGTGTTTTTGTTGCGTATTATGCGTGATAATTGATTAAAATAGTGAAATTTTACAAAGTTTAAAGTTAATGAGTTAAAGTAACATTTAAAAAATAAAAGGATGGAAAATACATTTACAGAGTTTAGAAAACGAAATGGTAAAAATGATATTTTATAAAGTTGAAAGTGAAATAAAAACAAAAGTGTAGAAAACCAAGGCATAAAAGTGATATTTTATAAATTTGAAGGCGGAGAGTGTTTAAACATGAAAGATTAGAAAAACGAAAGGGTAAAAAAGAAAATTTACACAGTTGAAAGTAGATAGGTGAAAATGATATTTTAAAAAAGTAAAGAAATGAAAAATATTATTTTACCAAATTGATAGGTTGCGGGAGAAAGTGGCAATTTAGAAAGTTGAAGGTGAAATGATGAAAATGATATTTTAAAACGTAAGAAGGAACAAAAATATAATTTTACAATATAAATTGATTACAATTAATGAATCATACAAAGTTTAGGGTATAGTTTTAATTAACGTATTAAAGTACTAATACATTATGCATTAGGAGATCTACTTTTAGCTAAAGTACATCTCCCCAAATATAAGAATTGGTTTTTGTTTATATTTATTATAATTGTATCTTTATATTGGATGATGAATCCGATAGTTATAGTATTTTCAAGGGTAGAAATTACTAAGATACTTGTGCTTTTTCATACATGTTGAATTAGGTGGAAAGGTTCATAAGCTTCAAAATGAAGACAACAAAGTAGGTCAATGGCTGATAATTAATTTACAAATAAAAACATAAAATTATCTCATATTTATCGGATTGGCACCAAAAAATTGGCAGAAGCTCAAAACAAGAAGATGCAATAAAGGTTATATATGAACCATCATGCTGAGAAATGTTAAAGGCGGGGGTGTTATGGTCCATTTGACTACTGTTTTATTTTTAATGATTTTAAAACATAAAATGGATTCTTAAATAAAATAAGCTACTTAAAAAGTGGATTTTGAAAAATACGGTATTTTAAAACATTAAGAATGACAAATATGATATTTAAAGTTTAAATCGGATAAATACAATATTTAAACTTTTAATAAGGGTATGTAAGAAATTTTTCCCTTAAAAGTGATAAGCATTTTTGTCAAATTTTTTCTCATTATTTAATTGAACGGAAATTAAATAAAAATACACAACCTGCCACATCATTCAATATAATACCACATTGATCATCATCCCATGCAAACATATATATCTTTTAGTAAATTTTTAGACAAAATTACAAAAATGGTACATGTGGTATGTATTTTTTTGTGGTTTTAGTCCAAACTACGGTTATTTTGGATTGATGGTCCTTTTGAGGTAGTTTCATTGCGTTTTTGATCCCTCTGTAAACTGAAATGACTATACTTGGGGTATTTATTTTTCATTTTTCTTTCATTCTTTTAAAATCTAATTGTTTATTTATTTATTTTAATAATTATAAAAGTGGGGCCACCTCTCTCTCTCTCTCTCTCTCTCTCTCTCTCTCTCGTGAAAAAGAAATTCACCCTTCACCCACTTCTTCATCTTCCCCAATTCATATCATATCTGATGAGCACATATACACATTTCTAAATCATATGAACACATAAAGTTTTTAGATTCGATTTCTCACACAAACACACATCTATATTTTCATATGAAGACGGTTTGCGATTCATAGATATGGAAGGAGGTGTGATAATGAGTGCAGGGGAACATCGGAAGTCAGAGATAGCTACAAGACCCGTTATCTCCATTCACTCCGATTCAGTGGTAACCCTAATCTGATCTTCATAGCAACAACGACGATACCTTAATCGGAGTTAGGGTTTGTTTTGGCTCCGCCGACCTCAAGCTTCATCATCCTTCTCCAATTGATCCAATCTCACTGCTTTCTACCTATTTCTTAACATATATACAAACAAACAAATGTATATATTTCTGGTTTAATTTTCATCTTCATTTATTTCTGGTTTAATTTTCATCTTCCTTACTTTCTCTTTTGTTCTCTCAACAGGTAACGCTCACTGGCATTTGTTAGAATCAAATTGGTTTTGGATCTATTAATCTAATTGAAAATGGATTGAAAGTGAGTTGATTTAGGAATCGAGATTTGTGTTGATTGGGATATTGTTTACTTAAAATATGTTAAAACGGTAATAGGTTTGGAGAGAGAGAAAGAGAGAGAGAGAGAGAGAGAGAAGGGATAAATTGATTTTGGAGACAATAATCTAACCGGGAATAGCAACAACAACAAACGATGATCTGTTAAGGTGCTGAAATTGATTTTGGAGAAGGATGAGGGTTATTAGAGGGAAGCGAGAGGGACTTCTTGATACTCACCGAAATGGGTCTTCTTCTCCTTGATCTAGTGTCTGTATGTGTGTTCATAGTGAAAGTGGATGAAGAACTTTAAGTTTTTTTCTTTTTTTCTTTTTTATTTTTTATTTTTTATTTTTTATTTTTTTTTAATTTTTTTTTTGTGGGTTAATCCAAGTAACTGGAATCTGATGTTGAAATGGGCTATGAGGGATGTTTGGATTGCTGGTGGGTTTGCACAGAGAGAGAGAGAGAGAGAGAGAGAGAGAGAGAGAGAGAGAGAGAGAGAGAGAGAGAGAGAGAGAGAGAGAGAGAGAGAGAGAGAGAGAGAGAGAGAGAGAGAGAGAGAGAGAGAGAGAGAGAGAGAGAGAGAGAGAGAGAGAGAGAGAGAGGTCCAATTTAATTATTTATTTTCTTTTTTTATTTAAATTAAATAGAAAAAAATAAAAATAAATACTCCAGGGGCATTACAGTAATTTCAATTTACCGAGGGACAAAAATACAACAAAACTACTTCAAAAGGACCACAAAACCAAAAAAATTATGATTTGAACTAAACCAAAAAAAAAAAAAAAAATACATACCACATGATATTTTTGCAATTTTGTCAAATTTTTATCACTTCAATGTCTTACACAAATGGAGCCGTTGCTTTAGTTTGTCAAACTAACATATCTATCAAGTTATAGTGACACGTAAATAGTTAAATTTAACAAAATTTTGACTTTTCATTATTAAATTGTTGACCGACCATTTTAAGCAGCAAAAGCGCGTATACTACTTTTCATTTGCATAATATTTCGGTAGAAGACAAAGCCCAAAAGTGCGATTATTTCTGCGATCATATAAACGTGTTCGGAGAACATAAAAATGTCAAAGTCTTTTGATATTATTATTATTTGATGAGTAGATTACAGTTTTTGTCCCTGTAGTTTAGGTCCATGTGTAGTTTTAGTCTATCTTTTGCATTTTGACATGGTTCGTCCCGATAGTTTTCAAAAGTTTCAAGTTTGGTCCTTTACCTTCTAAAGAGTTTTGTTAGCCGCCTCAAAATGGTGTTTGGCTGTGGTGGGTAATGGTTGTTAGTGGTGGGGTGATTGATAATTATATAGTGGTTGGTGATGTATTTGTGGTAATGATATGAAAGGGGTGAAGTTGGATAGGGTAGGTAACCTCGTCACCACCACCACTACTATTCACCCCCTCCCTCCATCTCTCTCTCTCCCCCAATCAAAACTTTAAACTCCACCATTGACCACTACATTACCTTATCAGTATCACTTTACTACCACCAATGATCCCACCATTGACCACCATTACTTATCCATGTTTATTTATGGTGATGGTTATAAAAATAATGAGGGACAGAGAAGAGGTCGTGAAAGGAGACAAAGTTTGTGTTGAGTACAGAGAATCAAAACTCATGACTTTCAGCTTTGATATTAGGCAAATCAAATATTTATTCTTCCCTGACATTGCAAGCGGGTTGTAAGGAGAGTGGCATTGTTGGTGGTGTCTCAGAAACTACCAATAGATTGAGGCGAAAGAGGGGATACAATGGCAGTCGTAGTGGTTCCTTCTTCTTCTTCTTCTTCTTCTTCTTCTTCTTTGAAGATGTTGGCGATATTTGGAATGAGAGTGATGCTAATGACAATGGCTTTCAAGCTACCATTGGACATGGCGGAAGAAGGGGTATGATGGCAACGATGAATGGGGCATACCAGCTAAATCATGGAGTTATCGGCCGGATAGGGAGTTATTTGTGTAATATATCCGATAGAATTGGATTTTAGTTTAGTTTTCAGACAATTTTCAAAATTGGTCCTAAAGTTCACTTGTTTTAATAATTTTATTCCTAGTATAAAAATGTCTCTTTATATTGTAGTTAACAAAAAAAAAAAAAAAAAAAAAAAAAAAAAAAAAAAAAAAAACCTAATGGTTTTAAACCATAGGAAAAATGTCAAATGGTGTAAGATTTGGAAACCATAGAGATGAGACATGTCAAAAATTAAAGAATTAGACTAAAACTGTAAATAGATGTAAACTATAAGGACCAAAATTATAATTTATTTTTATTTGATGAGTTTTTACTTCAATATATGTATGTTGTCCTAACTTTGGTACAAGCATGTCGACAACAGTTACAATAAGGGTTTTAAGCTGCGTGTTGTGGCGAGATTTCAAACAATATCTTTTGATATATGATATGTTTTTTTTTTCAAGTTTTTGTTTCATATTATTTGTCGATTATTTGATAATGTCGATTAAAGAATGAATAAAGCATGTTCTTATAATTTGGTTTATTTTTCAATATATAATGCTGTAAAAGAGTTATATGAATGGATGTTGTTATAATAAACAAATAAATTACATTGATATTTTTTCCATTTACCCATAAAACATGACTTCGTAAGATTCATTATATGTGGTCTCTAAACGAAATTTTAAACAATGCACAATAAAATAGACTTGAGGATCAATCTTGATATTGTAGGAATGCCAAAAACTTGATGTCGGTTCCATTATATGACTTTTCAACCTGCGACCTCGATTCTTCATAGGTTTTCTACATCTAAACACACAATTACTCACAACGGAAACAAACATTAATTCATATGCGTTCATGCAATCTAGATGACCTGTGTTTCATGCTATTACTACTACTACAACAAAAGAAGAAAAGTACATACCTCTTTTGGCACCAATGATCCCCTTGCTTGAGATCTTGTTCTTCCCACTTTGTTTGGTTGAAAGGACCTAAACCATAATCCCTCTTTTGATCACACCCAAGAACACTAAAATCATAACAAAGAAATTTAGGAGAAAGGAGCAAGATACAATATTCTACAAACCCTAGAAGGATAAAAAAATTGATCCTCCTTAAGGGAATATGATAGAACGAAATTTACATGAGTGAATGAGCAAATAGGGTTTGATCCCTAACATCTTATTTATAGGCTTCAGTTGCTTAGTTGCAAAGCAACTCCAAAACCTTATGCGATAAGCCTATAATTTTGCCACACCTTATCTCTCTAGGATTTACGAAATATTCTAATTAAATAACTTTTAATTAATTAATAATCAACCGCTTGAATTAATTAACTCCCAGTTAATTTCAAAATAGTTTCTAATTCACTTATTAAGTCATGACAAATTAATAAACTAATTTATCCTAAATAGTTTTTGCTCAAATGGATCACAACGGGAACCTAAAAAGACCTTGTTATTATTGGAAATATTAACAATAGTTTATGACTTTAGACACTCGTCACAATAGTCTCCAACTTGGGCAAATCATAAAGTGTATGGAGTCTAATAATTCTCAGATAATCAACATAGAGTATGTCATCTAATGCAACTGCTGAACTCTGCTATATTCAAGATTCAGCCCATAGATAAGTGATCAATTATTTATTTGCTCTTCAAGATATCAGTATGAACGTAAGACCATGGAAAAAGGTCAATCTCAATTTTCAAGATTTTGTTTCTTGATAAAGATTTGTGACTACTACTAAATTAGACATATCATTTTTAGTTAGGGCTCGGCTAAACACTTTACATGTCAACACCAAATCATTGAGGAACCCATAAGTATCGTTTCTCCTGTTTGGACATAATGAACAAATATAATTTCATCTACTCATCATGTCACACATGGACATACCCTTTGTTACTACCATTTATAGATAGTCTTGGAACAAGTAAATGAATAAAAGATTCATAAAGCAAAAAACAGCATGTATCATTGTTTAGAGAATAATAGAATTTCGCCTGGGCCTTGGCCGAGTCTCAGTCTTAGCCAGGACACGCTAGCGCTAGGATGACAACTCACTTTCCCCCATAAGGAAGAATATTCCTCGTGATCCTCTCATTCTCTCATGACCAATTAGGTCATGACAAAGAGCCTGATGACGCTCATAACTGACGTCACCAGGCTATTAGACCACGTAAGTATACTTCTCCCAGTAGGAAAGTGCCACGTCTCACTCCCACATGGGAGAGTCACCCCATTCCATTAGCAACAGGTATAAAAGGATCCTTTCCCGCCCAAGGAAGGGGATCATCTGCTTCCCTATACAATTTTACCTAAATCTCTCTCTGAAATAAAGCTAACTTGATCGTCGAAGTGACGTCCCGGGAGAACCCCCGATCATCCTTTAACGACTCTTTTGTGTTGTGTTCTCAGGTAAACCTCCAAGAACAACTCGCTAATGAACGACCAATTCGATGAAGAGCTTGTCACAACATTTGGTGCCATCTGGACGTATCCTCAGAGTGATACAACCAATAGATGATGTTGGTTCTCTGCAAAAGGGGGATCTAAACCCAACAACAACTAGGACGGTAGAAGAAGATCTATTTAGAACACTGGTGATAGTAAATAGGGAATATCACCGCGAGTGTAGAACATAGACCCCAATCTAGGTGCTAATGGCGCATGTCCTGCCAATTGCGACAGAAATAGCGGAGCTAGTACTCAAGCGCAGTTTCCGAAAACTATCGTCAAAAGGTTCGCTGCCTCAAATGGGGATAACACATCTCGATTTGCTGCAGGAACCTCCGTATGATGGCAACGGGGTACTCATTATCTCTAAATCCTGTAAGAGAAATGTAGCTCACCAAATAGAGGATGGGATAGAGTTACTCTTGAGAAATCTACTCAATATCACTTTTTCGAGTAGCGATCCCAGACCATTGAACTAGCATCCACGAGATACTCTCTTCATATCTGGATTCATTCTCCATACGAAAATCCATCTGATGTACATCGACAATGGTAGTAGCTCCGACATATTCTACGAGCATGGTTTCAGGAGACTATCGGACACATGGAAGGAGGGGCTAAGGCCCCCAACTGGAGGACCATTGGTGGGGTTTACCGGTCACAGCTTGTGGCCATTAGGAACTATCGTTCTGCCTTTTAACATTGGTCATTCATGACAAAAAGTACAAAATTACAAGAACAGTCAAATTTTCTATGGTTCGGTTTCCACCAGAACACAATATTCCGTGGTTCGGTTTCCGAGTCTTCGTGGCCACATCCACCTCCACTTTTGGATCGAACTTCCCAGTAACCACCAGTTCTCTCAAAGCTCCCTTCCCCTGCTCCATACCCGCTACCATGCAAGCCTCCTACACGTGCACCAAGCCCTTGAGGAAGTGGAGGCTTTAGATCACCTTGTTCACAATTTAACAGATCCCATCACGAAGGATCCACATAATTTCTTTCTCCAACACACCCCTCACAACGCTTTCCCCAACCAGGTCTGCCTCCAGCTCTGTCGTTCGTTCGTTGAGGCCAATGTTCTCCAAGGTTAGGGCTCATATACGATCAGTTAAGTGCTTCACCTCCCCGTCTAGCCTTGCCATATGTTCTTCCAGGCGCGCCTTCTCGCACAACATAAGCTCCTGCTGGGCCCCCCATTTGTGCTTACTAGCCTCCATCTTCACCACCTGAGCCTTCAACTCCACACATTCAACACTCATATTTTACGAATAGGAATGGATAGCCTCTATGTAGAAAATGCGCTCGGTAACCGATACTAAGTAAGACGAAACTTGGGTGGCGGCATAATGAAGACCGTCAACCATCTGCTCATCCATTATAATTGTCAAAGCTTTAGTTGTGGCGAGTGGAAAAGCATGCTGACACCACTTAAGAGTGTTGTCGTGGTCGGATACAAGGTCTTTAGGGATTAAGCTCCAAGATGGCCTATACATGCTTGAGTGAGACCCTAATAGAGGAGAGACAACTCCCATTTTACCAGGAGAAGTTAACACATGAGCACGAGAAGGCATAGATCCAGCCTTCGTATTGGCTCTCTCTCAGCAGCAGGATTGGGGTCAGTCACATCGGTAGTTTTCTTCTCTTTATTAACGGGCAGTTCAGTCTTCCTATTGTGCGCCCCTCCAGAAATTTCGAAGAACTTTCATCAGTCACACTAGTGGTACCTTTGGAACCCCTTAGCAAGAAACTCAAGTTACGTTTCTTGTGAAGCGGGGGCTATGTGCTAGCCGTCTCAACGCTACCGCCAGAAGACGATTCCAACAAAGCGAATCGCCTCTTGACATGTTGGAGACTCCTTGGAGACCTGGAACGGACATGATCCTTATGAGAAGAATTGGTAACAAATATGTCCTGCAGATCCGACTCCTCGTCAGCACCAACAACATCTTCTGAACCAGCAGGAGAATCAGATATATCACTGATACCCCGACCGGAAACAGGTGGTGGGAGAGTCTTCACAAGGTTGATGTCGCGACACTCATGATTACCGAATAAACCTCGCAGAGCTCTCTCTAAGCAGATAATCTCCTCCACACCTGACAAAAAATAAAGGTAACAACGGTTAACAAAATTACCAATTTCAAAGTACTTTTCCGAGTAGAAGGGGGGGGGGGGGGGGGAAAGCAGAAGAAGAAGCATCATACCTTTGTTGGGTTTTTAGCATTCTAACACTCCTAAGTGTACATGCAACCCTAAATACCTTGGATCTATGTTTTCTCTATTATACATGCAAATATGAATACTTCAAGGTATTACCCTAACTAGCATACAAAACACTGATACTTAGGTAATAAACTAGATAGAAATGCATACCTTGTTGATGTAGCTTGACTCCATGTAGCTCGAGAGCTTAGTGCCCCAAGTGTGACACCTCAAATGGTTCACACAACATCACCAACACATGGAATAACCATGAGAAGAAGACACTCATGCTTAATCAGCTAGTCGTCATATATGTCTCACTAGTGCCAATTTCTTGAGCTAAAGGGGTCCTTATATAGTATGCACATTAGGGTTACACCATCTAACCCATGACTTTACCCATTCCTTATGCTCCATAGGTTTTAACCTCCATGGATCACCACATGGGATAAACCCAACATAAGGAATCACGGATCATAAGCCCACATATATGAGAATGAATGTTTTACACAATCAATCCCCATATATTTAATCAGTCTATTTTTTGTCACTAAAATAAGTCCAAATTAATTCTTGATCAATACGCATTAAATAACATGATTTCATATTAATATATTATAACTTATAATATATTAATACATCACAAATGTCCTCCCCTCACAAACGCTCTATCCAAATGGTCTGATGCCATGCAACCCAAAATGGACCATGTCGGGTCGGGTCAAGTACATACCAATTATACTTATGGACTGAGACACTAATCTAACAGTCTCCCACTTGGATAAGTCTAAAAATATTATTGTGTATGACCTCAAAACCAAATGGCAATCGAAGCTCTCAAAAGACGCTATCAAACTCTGACCTTGTCGATAAACTCTGACCTTTGTCAATGACTTGTCCATTAGATAAGGGATCATATATTCCTCCATTCTAGATATCATATGGACTGAGACATGTATTATAAATCATTCTCTCTGTCCATTTATTGTTTCCCAATTTCCAATTTATGATGACTGACTAATTGAACAAGTCAAATCAGTCCTGGCCCAGCCGAGCACTTACATTTGTCATCACTAAATCATCGAGGGGCACACATATATTGCTTTTATCCCGAATTTAAAAGGAATGGATAAACTTCGACTCATATGTCTTGTTCTACTACTTGTTGAATCATACACAAAGACACGTTTGATAATATCGAGTTACCAATGCGTTTTCATTGAATCAATGTATAACCAACTTATAGTAACAACTCGTATCTCTAGGTTTGAAGAATATAAGATATTATCATCTCATGATCACTCGTGATAAAATCCATGAAGTGAGTCAAATGAGCGTGGGTTGTATCCAATATTCAGAACTGGTGAGAACTCATGAGTGTTGTAGCACCACTTTATCCAACATCTTAGACCTCTACAAGCCAGCCCATGACAGTCTTGATTCATATCTACTTCCAACATATGACCGAATGTGGATGGTGTGAATAACGTAGTCATTTAGGAAGAATGACCTAGTTATTCTGGAAGTCAAAACATGCAAAGTGAAACACAAGAATAATCGAATCCAATATGGTCTCAGAACTTATGAATATAAATATACACACCTTTTATTTATCACCATATTGATTACCCATCATTCATTGCATACTGTTTCAAACTATCAACTTTATACTTTAATTAAAACAATAGTTGTCCTATGCTCCAAGCATGTACACTATGTTTTCTAAGCACTAGTCATGCCATACACCAAATATGCACACTATATTTGTCTTAAACATTAGTTATGCCATACACCAAGTATGCATACTAAGTTTGTCTATGATCTTTGTTTTGTAAAATAGATCGATTTAACATAATTCCAATGATTCTCATTTCACAATCCCAAATCCTTACCGCAAACACAAAAAATTCCAAATTCCTGCCATTTACCTAAATTTTGTTATATTTTAAACTTATATGCATTGATCCTCTTGTAATGATTATGCACAAAGTCACAAAGACTTGTCAACATACATTATAGAGTATTCCAATGGAGATCATTCCATGGAACCGAAGTCTCAAATTCAAAGTATATCACTATCCACATCCTTCTTGCATTAAGTCTCCTAATCTTACACATATTTAATGAACAACTACCACCTATGGGAATCTTTCCATATTCTCATTTTGACTATCACTTCTGAACAAGAGTTGCCTCTTTTCAGAATATGTAAAAATGGTCCTTCCAAATTGCTTAATCAGTTTAGTCATATCCAATTCTAGATTGTCCTTGATAATTGCTTAATCAGTTTAGTCATATCCAATTCTAGACTTTTCCCTTCTTAATGCCCTGAGCATTTGGAAAATTTAGACAGGATGAATATTATAGCACATGCAATCGATCCTATATCCGAAGCATATAGGATGCGATTCATGATGTCTCACATAAATACATGATACTAGACCAATCCTTTTGCTATAATATTTCTATTTGCCATGTTCTCATAATTTAGATTACAAAAAGGGATGCCGTAATCATAATCAAAATTTAGAACACAAATAATGGAATCATATATAGAATTTCCTTACGTTGAGCCATTCCAACACAAATTTCATCTCTATATATATATATATATATATATATATATATATCCTT